TAAAGCCGTGTCATTAGTGATGTATGTCAAACATATGTCGATGATGTTCTTTTTGTGTTCCTTTTTCTTCCATTTCTCTATTTTCGCTTTTAACATTTTGTTCTCTAATTTAAGTTGTCTGGTCCTTTTCCGTCTCCGAGTCGATCCGAAAGAGGAGAACGGTTTATCGGTTCTGGGGAGGGAAGAGGACGAGGAAGGAAACGAAAAATTAAAACAGATGTTGAATTTTTTTTTAAACAAAGGGTAAAATAATGGAAAAATTTGTATAATAAGAACTTTCGGACCGTCGGACAGGCTTCTGCACGGTCGCATTGCATCAAATATGGAAGCTAATTTATTTTTTACCTCGGATTTATAATAGTTAATTATTAGGCACGTTTAAGACTACGATTATATATTGTTACTATTATTATTACACTTCTATGATAATTATTACTATATTATACTACGATTACCATTATAAACTATTTACAGCTATTTATCACTATTTGCGACTGCTCCTACTGCAATTATTATGATTGCACTACTATATTACACAACTATTATTACTGTCTATGATAATTATTAATGAATAATTGTACGATGATGCTTATAAGTGTTTAAATTTCTAGACAATTAGAGAGACGAAAGAGATCATGAGATAATATCTAAATGTTGGAGGGAGGGGTTATTTGTAATTTGTGCGGTGTACACTCGGCGGGGGGCGTAGATCTGAAAAGTCTACCTGATTAAATATATGACTTAATTGTATTTACTCTGTAGGATTTACCATAGTTCTAAACAAGAAATATTTCGGAAGAATGCTCTCATTAATGCTCATGTTTATTACTGAGCGAGTCGCGTTGTGTCTTACTTCATCAATAAGAATCAAGCAAGTATTACAAGCTAATGTAATTTTAAATTTTTGTACGACGGTCACACTAATAATCACTAGGTTACAATTAACGATGGATCAAGAATTTGCGTAAGCTTTTGATCTCAATACGATTTAAGGATTTTATTCTTTCTCTTCACGTAGCATCTGTTCTGTTTCTCGTCAAATTGTCGTAACGATTGCCCCACTTCTTCTCGTTATTTTCTTTTCTTTTCTTTTTTTTTTTTTTTTTTCTTTTTCTTTTTCTCTTTGCTCTTTCGTTTCCGTTTGTCTCATGATCACGCAAACTCGTTTCTACATTTCTTTCTTGATTCAAGTCATTGATCGACTTTCAAATCAATTAACTCCTGTACTTATCCCGCGATTGTCTATTCGAACTGCTCGTTGAATCATTTTTCCAATTCGGTACGGTTTGATTAAAAAACGGTATCGCGTACATAGCACTATGTATTTAGAAAACCACACAGGGATACGTAAAAGTCAATGGGACGAAGAGAAAGCATTAACAAACGCGACTCGTGGAAACTTCTGGGATCAACGCAATAACACATTTAACCGACTAAACTAACGACAAGAAGAGAGACGAGAAGGGAGCTCAATCAAATGATTAGGGAAAAAAAAAACCAACTTTTTACACTAATTGTTATGGTAATTACACGAAATACACGTAAACATGAACGTACTCTCAACAGATACACGTATAACACGTACACTTCTCTACGCGCATAAAGAAGTAAATTAATTAAACAGAGGCCACAAGTTATTGAACATCCAAATAGTAAGTTAATAAGATGCTAATAAGAAAATAGATAATGCAGAAAAAAAAAAA